GTAAACTTCTGAGCACAACTCAAAAGTCAACACAAGCGCATGCATTGTAATTCTGCCCTGCACAAGGTCACATATGCACGTGAGCCATATGTATTCATTTCAGCAATGGAAAAGCGGTACTTATATCCGATCCAGCCAAAGTGACGTCTCGGGAGCGCCTGGTGACTGACAGTCTTCTCGTCTGTTAACACTTGACTGTCACCGAGCTGACTTATGCACAACCGCTCTGCACGGATAATATGTGACACGCAGGTGTTAGACGGATTTTTACAGAAACGCAGCTCCACTGCTAGGTCGGACGTTGATTTACTTCTGTATCCCAAAAAAATATCCCACTGCCGTGTCAACTCCTTATGGCCACTTGGCATTCCATTTGCTACCTGGCATTCCATTTGGTTTTTAAACACATTACAGCAGAAAGCTGCCAGGTAATTGCAAGGTCAAGTTGGGCGATTCATGGAATGTATTCTTCGGAAAGGATTCTTGCTTATTTGCACAGAAGGTGCTAGTTGGCAAAGTGCTGCCAAGTTAGAAACTTTTCTGACGGCTACAGTGAATGTTTTTATTCCATCCATCCGTCCATCCATCCATCGTGCCGAGGTGTCCAAATGTTGTCTTCTAAGGGTTGCATTCGGAAAATGAGATGATGTCAGGCTGCCTGCAACTAACAGTTATTGCAATAATCGATTAACCTGGTGATTATATTTTCCAGAGTAATCAATGAACCGGATTCAATTTCATTTCCATCCCTGTGTATATTCTAAAAACAGGACGTTATTTCAAAATATCAGGGGATGAACAGGGACATGAATTAATGATGATTCAGTTCATGGTTTGGTCCGCAAAGACGTAACCATGTTCACCCTCCAAGTTGGCACAAATCGATCAGCATGTGATTAAAACCTCCGCCGCCTGAAGACGCGCGTCGCAATAAATTGCAGGCAGGAAAAATTAGGAATCTGACATCAGGGGTCCATTATGAGGGAAATGGGAAGAAATTAGCTGATCTTTCCAGTGAGTGAGAAAGGAGAAATGGAGGCCATCGCAAAGGCCCCTCGCAGCTGAGAAGCAAGACAGACATGGAAAAGCTTGGAGCACCCCCAAGTGGACAAAACATTTGCCTTTCTTTTGTGGTTTGGTTGTTTTCGCTTCTACTTCATGTGTATGATTGCGGCACTTCTCTATTGAAAGTTTATTTTTTATTTTTTCCGGGTGCATTTGTTTACACGTGTTCGGGTGTTTTAGCCGTTTGCAGCGTTTGGCGGCAGTCTGAAGCGCGTTTGCCCGGCAAATCACCGGGTAGCTCCGAGATTACGTTGTGGAGAAGTTTAAAGCATGGTTTGATTCTTACAATAAACACGTGTATAGAGCGAGCTTTGAACATCACAATGAGCTTCAACTGTTCCGTTCGGACAAGACATGGAATCGTATGTGTCGAATGCAGGAGCTGCATGACGACAACAACATACAGGAAAGACCTGTAATCACCTCCTGGCTGTGTGTGTCCAATAAAAAAAAAAAAAAAAAAACCTTTGGTCCCTTCCTGTTGACATGTCCATCAAGCCATATACTTTTATAGTCTACTATTTAGTCATTTTTATTTAATGTTAGAAATGAAAAAAGGATACCTGTTTCCATTCAAAAAAAAAATCTAAGCGTTTTTTTCGAAACAAATGAGAATCTGAATTTCTGTACACACACACACACACACACACACACACACACACACACACACACACACACACACACGTTCGTGCTTACATAACGCATATACATCCGGGCCTCAGTCGAAAGTGAAACATTTTCTAGCAGTAAACTGAGGGCAGGGCGTTCACGAGAGCTTCCTTCTCGCGTTTTCTGTCCTGAATTTGCCGGTAAGAGATGTCCGACAAAAAGTTGGCCATCGCCGACGCGCTGGCGAACTTGACCAAGGCGGAATACGACAAGTTCTGCATGTTTCTGGTGGATGGCCACGGAGAGCGCAGGGTGCCGCTCAGCAAGGTGGAGGGCAAGAACTTCCTGGAGGTCACCAACGTGCTGGTGAACTTCTTCACCGAAGATGAAGCCATGGTCATCACATCGGAGCTCTTGACGCTCATCGGCTGCCTCCAGCAGGCCAAAGAACTCAGTAAATCACCTTTGTGTGTGTGTGTGTGTGTGTGTGTGTGTGTGTGTGTGTGTGTGTTTATTTTGTAGTGGTGTAAAAAGAAGTGTTCCCCTGACATATTTTGCACTATCAACTGTCAAATGATGTGTGCTAAAAAGCCCTGTGTGGTCACGTTTTGTCAATTTTGAACATTTGTTCACCGTCAGGAAAAACAATGTCAAAACACATCCATTTCCCACTCTCTTTGTATCCTCCTTCTCGTAATCCAACCCTGTTTACAGCAAAACGGTGTTCAATGACAGCAAAGTGGCGAACTGTTTTCTTTTTTTGCGCCCGGTGGGCTCTGTGTTTTATAGTAAAGTCCTGCATATTTTGTATATTGTTTCCATTTAATATAAAAAGGTGTCACGTTATACTTACATTATACTGTTCTCATCGCAATTTCACAGGAAGAGTCTGAAGACAGCAGCAGCGTCCTTGAAGACGACTCGACCTGTGAGGAAGAGGATGTCGGGGACGAAGACGACGACGGCGGAATCTGTGAGAAAAAGATGAATAGAACTTACATTGTACGTAGACCTGGCAACACGTCATAACATCCCGGTGGAAAATAATCCTGACCTTGTCGATGACGCGCTGTCATGTAAGAGTCCAATAAATCGAAATCAATGGTATTACCCTTTCTTTGAAAAATCCACTTGGTGTGTTTTGTGCTCAAGAAACGGAAAGCGGCGGTCAATCTAAAAAATATCGATTCGTTTTGAAGCAGTCGGCAAATCACTCATGAATCGGCATCCACTCTGTTAGCTTGTCATTAGCATCTTGGACTGAATATTATACGGAGCCGTTAAGGTGACGTAGAAATGAAAAACTTTAGCTTTCCTTCATAAGGTTTTGTTTTGGTTTGTTTTTTTTTTTTGGCGAGGGATCGTGTCTTTTTTAAATGTGTTTATGTACTTCCGGGTCTGTTTTTTAATGCGCAACTGGCTCACTCCGCACACGTAAAAACAATAAATAGTTTTTTTTCCAGATAATTGAGCGCGCTGGTTTGGCTTGGCTGGCTTCAAAAGCAGATAGCGAACGACGCATTTGGGAGTTCCGATCGCCGCTGGTGTTGACAGCAAAAATGTTGAGTTCAACAGCAAACCCGCACGGTTACCACATCAAACAAAACCAACGAGATAATGATGAATTTCATTAATTTGGAGAACCACAAACTCACCCACTGACTTGGATGTGCTGCATCAAAAGCGAGGTTAAAAGAATGGCGGACAGATGACCCCAAAAAGAGTCGTGAGCCTGGTTTGATTATTTGTTGTCACTCTTTTGTGTGTGCCACGTGGAGGCCATCTGCATGAAATGTTGACGATTGTGTGATGCCAAGCTTAAAATCGACACTTTAATCAGTTGTTTTCAAATCCCTTGTGGGAGTGGAACGGTAAAATCAGGAGCAGCAACACGGGATCTAGCCGGCAGACTTGGGAACTCAAGTGTGCACCAGGTAGTCGAATTTGAGACGCAATACCTCTGATATCCTACAGGTGGCGGAATCGTCACGTGTTAGTTTTAATCAAGTGCAACGCCAGTTCTCACACCGGCATTCAGGATGACGGGATGGATGGATGGAAGACACACAGACTCACACGCACAAATAAATCAATAAATAAATAGCCAAATTGGCTGTGTGTGTCCAATAAAAAAAACAAAAACAAAAGACAACCTTTGGTCCCTTCCTGTTGTTCGATATATTCACACACGTGTCGTGTATGTGGGCCTTTTCTGTCAAGGTTTGTGGTTACATAACGCACATACATACATCCTGCCCTCAGTCGAAAGTGAAAACATTTTCAACCAGTCAAACTGAGGCCAGGGCGTTCACGAGAGCTTCCTTCTCGCGTTTTCTGCACTGAATTTCCCAGTAAGAGATGGTCGACAAAAAGCTGGCCATCGCCGACACGCTGGAGAACTTGTCCAAGGCGGACTACGACAAGTTCTGCATGTTTCTGGTGGATGGCCACGGAGAGCGCAGGGTGCCGCTCAGCAAGGTGGAGGGCAAGAACTTCCTGGAGGTCACCAACGTGCTGGTGAACTTCTTCACCGAAGATGAAGCCGTGGTCATCACATGGGAGCTCTTGATGCTCATCGGCTGCCTCCAGCAGGCCAAAGAGCTCAGTAAATCACCTTTGTGTGTGTGTGTGTGTTTATTTTGTAGTGGTGTAAAAAGAAGTGCTCCCCTGACATATTTTGCTGGTGTTTTGCCAGATGACCGGATTGCCAAACTGTCATCCAAGGCGCCATCATCTTCTCGTCAAAGTGCGGGTTTGTTTTCTTCCCAATTTCATTTCTTCGCTTTTCAAAGCCTCAAACGGCATAATCAAAACTCCTGCATGTGACATGACTTGTTTTGGTTTGCAGCGACAGCGAGGGGCAGAACTGATGCCACGGCTGACACTCCACGCTCCACGGGTAGAACATCACAATCACCAACCGTCATTTCATTTCCTTTGAACATATATTTTTGGTTTTATTGTGGAATATTTTCTCTAATACTTTTAGTATTTTTTTTGAATATTTGTGTATTTTTCATCAAATATCATATATCAATATTTTGGCCATATTTTTGTCATCATTTTATTTATTTATATATATATATATATATATATATGAATAAAAGAACAAGAAATAATCTAGCTCCATTTTTGGGGGTTGCCAGGTTGTTTGAAATCCCCCTTTCTTAAGTTTCCCAGGGGAAAAAAAACCCAAACTTTTTTTTAACACCTATATTTAAGCAAGCCACAAGTGACGAATGGAAGACGAACAAGTCTTCCTGAGAAGGAAGGAGAAGGCAGCGAGAGAGGGAGAGCGTGAGGGAGGGAGGGGGAGAGAGGGAGAGAGCCGTTGGTTTGAGGTTGGCCAACATGAACTGACGCTGCGCGCATTGAACGAGTGCGCTTGTTGGACGCGAGGCCAGCCGCAGGATCAATGCGCTCTTTCATCGGCCCCGAAAGTGACAAGCTCGGAACGGCAGCGCACACCGGGAGGCTGCTTTTCGCTGTTAAGAGTGCGTGTGCTTCCCACAAGTCAATCCGGGCATCAGGGAGGAGCATGACCCGGCGGACCTGTTGAGCGGGCCGGCCAGCGCACAAGTTGACGCACACGTTGTGGCTTGAGAGGCGCTCCGGGGGAACAACCTCTGTGACTGCGTGGTCGCCTGACACTTTCTGATCGTCGCTTCTTGCTATGATTTAACCACTTTTACACGCTGACTCTCGCTGTACGTGACCACTCTTCGGAGTTCGATATGGATCATCATCACTGAAGGGGACCAACACCGCCTCCATCACTGTTCCCAAATCCCGACCGAGATGCCACTGGAGCACATTCTCACTGGAATTGAAGCCTCTCTGCACTGAGGCTACCACCGAAAAGTGTTTTGTTTTGTTTTGTCTTGGCCCCATCAACCGGGAGAGGAATTTTGAACCATATCAAAACATCGTGAGAGACTCAGTTGGTGGTTCTGAATGGAGCTGCGTACATGCCTGCTGCGCATCTTCCTTCTCAAAGGTATATCTTTACATCTTTAACTTGTGCTTCTCTTTGAGGAATTTCTTGCATGCGCAAGGAGCGCAGCAGCGGGTATTAATTCAAATATATGAGAACGCTGCATCACATCAAAGTACACAGGAAGCTTAGTGTGAACCGTGATGCCCGGCTCAAAGGCTATTTTCAAAATGAGGTGTGATTATATTTAAAAAAAAAAAAAAAGATTGTCATCTGTTACAAATATGGATCCGCTGCCAAAAATGGGGGGCTCGTCTCTTGTTACTGGCAGCTGCTTTCAACTCCATATCTCCTTTCCGCTTGACATCTCGAGTTTCCCCAACCAAGCTTTGCCGGCATTAGGCATGAGTTTTGTGAAAGGAAAAAAAAAGTTCATTCATCAATTCTGGAGAAGGTGATCAAATAGGGTTAGTCGCTGAGGATAAAGAAGACGTGCACAGTTTCGTTCTCTTGGGTTTGGCTCCCCTTCAAGCTTGACTTGAGTGGACGCATGTTGAGCATCACCATTCTCCACTCTCGTTTCCTAGCAGCCACACACACACGTTTGCACCCAAAGCGGGGAAAGCAAAGAAACGTGCCATTGTTGTCTTGAAAAGCCATGCGGCTGATAAGACGTCAGCCAGAGCTTGCATTAAAAAAAAAAAAAAAAAAAAAAAAAAAAATCAATTCCCTCAAAATTTTAATATTGTTGAGGTACAATTTTTGTCCTGCATTACATTCTTAATCTGCAAAGAAAATACACACGCACGCTCATACAAAATGCTCAATTTAAAGTTGACTAACGGCTAACACGCTGCTGCAGAGTGCAATCACAAAGTCCGGAAAATGAAGGTCGATCACTTTGAAGGCACGAAGCCGCTTATCTCGAATTTACTTGCTGTATTTTCTTCTCGAAAATACAGCAAGTAACTTCTTCGACATGGCTTGCTCTCATCAGTCCACTGAGTGACTTTCGATTTCCGCTGCAGGCTGCGGCTCGCTTGTTATTTAGGCAGCGGGATGAAGCCTTAACCGTGCCTTCGCCCCCTAGTGGTTGGCTCGTTGAGAACGAGCTCGATTGGCTCGGCGGCATGGCTCGAATTTGAAACGGATATTGACAAGGTCAGGCCAATTTTATCGTGGCAGCCAAAATAATAATTGGGAGTAGATATTGATTCAAGTGTGTGTGTGTGTGTGTGTGTGTGAGATACGGCGGCATGTAGGTGAGCGAGCATGCGTGTCATGTTAATGCTTTCAACAGAGCTCCCATGATGCTCGCAGCAGCCATGCTGTTTTCTCTGTTTCACACACAGTGCGTGCGTGTGTGTGTGTGTGTGTGTGTGTGTGTGTGTGTGTGTGCGTGCGCGCCTTGACCGTGGCCATTCATAAATTCTGCACGTTTTAATCAAGCCGACTTTCATTCCCACGCACGCCTCCTCTTTCCATCGCCGTTCCCCATGAGAGGGTGACGGATGAGAATAAAATGATCACGATAATGGAGAGACAATCTGTGGTCGGGCGGGAAATGCGCCTGGATTTGAATAAAGGAATCCTACACCTCACTGGGGGGCTTCAATTAAAAAGACATCGAGAGACGGGAGGGAAAGAGGCAGGCAATGCTTGAAGCGCCATTTTGCAAGGATTCATTCATTGCATTCAAAATCTGAAAATATATGGAAGTGAATATTCTAAGTAACCAATGAATGTAACTACATTTCAACAACAAATATTGCAGACTCTTGATGGTGCAAATGTTCAATGGGACGTGAAAAAAAAAAAAAAAACGCAGGTCATACTTTGCCAGCTGAGCTGAATAAGCTTGCTGAAGTCTCTCATGACATCACCCCAAATTCCGGTTTCACAGGCAACTTTTTGTCCACATTTTCCCATCAAATATCAGATCAACTCCAAAAGCAATGGACGTTCGGGCTTCCATTGCGACGCGTTTGTGTACGTCCAAATAGATTCATGTCAAGATCACTTTTCACACACGCACACAATTACAAGAGCGCCCGCGAGCCGAGCGTGTGGTTGCAAAGAACCTGGACGCGCTTTGACTTGATAAATGTTTGCAGCCGGTCGCCATGGCGATGGGTGGTCAGACAGACTGTGGTACAATGTCATATATAAACTCTAATTAAAGCATGCGGTGTTGTTCTTTAAGGCGTGGGGAGGTGTGGGTGGGGGGTGGGGGTT